ATTGATCTCTAATTGTTTTTGATGTCGAGACCAAGCCAGGATTTTAGCACCGTAAAGGGATGTGACATGTTCAGCTACAGTTTCAGCTGTTTCCATGCGAAAGTACTGATCATCTGATTTCGAAATGAGGTCCCCAATGAGTTAAATTCAGTATAGGTCAAGCTTCTATGATCAAGTCAAGAATGGCAAAGAAATACACCAACCGATGCCCAAGTTGTTGTAGCTAAGGTGGTAAAAGAGCGATAAGTCAAGATATCAACAGAAAGGAAACTTTTCAATAATTGACTTACAACCAAGCTACTTCATTATGGACCAAGTTATGTGGTACAAAACCATTCTTAGTGACAATCTCCTCTACACTCAAAGCTTGAGCTTTCTTGCCATCAAACACCACCTCTTCATATCCAGCAGTATTTTGAACAACCTATTCAAAAGAGTTTGAATTAGAATCAATGATGATTGATAGAATAAGATTGAAGATTGATTGGATTTGAGTGACTAACGTGATGACGTTGATTTGGTTCAGGAGTTTGACTTGGAGTGAAACCAGGTACGTGAAGTTGAGGATCTAAACCATCCTTGGTTGGTTTTGGTGCTAATAAGTTATCAGACATGATGATGATGATGAAAGTCTGATTGATGATGATGAAAGGTGATATAGGATCGATGTAGAATGAAAGTTGAAGTCAAAGTTAATGGAGTGATCGAGGATGATTGAGAATGTTGAAATCTTACCTAATTTTTGAATGTGACTCGATTTGATTTGGTTTTTCTAAAAGTTGATAAAGTGTTTTGGAAATGCAAATGCAAATGAGGAATGAGGAATGAGAATGAGGAATGAGGAAATGAAGCAAGAATGGAGAGTTTAAATAGTACAAAGTGTCACAGTCTCCAACTTGCCAAGTGGTAAACTACAAATAGCTTGGGATGTTAACTACTGAAACTACATTATATTTTTACTTAAAAAGGAAATCAAAATAAAATGTACTTTATGTAATCGATTGGTTTATCACTCACTTCACTCTCTATCACTCTATCACTATCATCTGACTGACTGACTGACTGACTGACTGACTGACTTATCGTCTTCCTCCATCCCAAATTGCCAATCCCATCAGCTGAGATTCGATCATGATGTTCTCAAAGATCTCAATACACATATTAACTTATTACCCTCGCCTCTCCTATTTCAATTGGGCGGATACTAAACTTCGACATCCGTTTCGGACTCACCTCGCATTAAGTATCTATACTTACTCTAGAGTCTAGCCCCTCAATTTTCACCACGGTACATCTAATGCTCCCATATGTAACAGTATGAGAAATGACATTAATGGCTGTTGTCGACGGGAACTGTGTGTCTCTCAGAGTCTCTCAGAGTCTGAGAGGTTTTCTCACCAAATTTCAGTTCCAAGTCCAAAGGACCGGTCGCATCGCGTGTCTGGCAGTACCGGTCCTCCCAGCACAGGCCAGACCTTTATTCAAACTTCGCAACGTTCGCTTTGAGGAGCTTGAGGAGTATCATCAACATTCATTTAAATCGATTGTAATCCTTTGATAACTTGTATACGGTCAAATGTGTATCACTTCAATCGTCAACTTGAGTGACGTTCCACCCTTCTTGCAAATTAGAGTCTTGTGCTCGCGACTCAAGAACAACATTTCATGCTTTGGTTCTCTTTTTATCAAGTCTGGTCTGACTTGGACTTGGCTTGAGTCAAGTACAACGTACAATACGGCTTGGCTTCAGTTAGTTTATCAATTTTATCCTTCAAACTCAAGCACAACTGTGGTCGCACTCAAAGTTGAGTCAAGTCTAATGTTTAGTTTTGTTTTTTCTCAATTGAATACGAATTGTCACAAATTAGTTTCTCAACTTGAATAAGGATTGTTACAAAGTATTTTCTCAAGTTGAAAAGCAACTTGTCACATGATGAACAATTTTGCAAGAACGGAATGAAAAAAGAGAATTCACTTCACATAATGGAGCAGAACGAAGAAAAAATGAGAAAAAAAACAGAGAGACAGAGCGCATGCAATCAAAGGTCATTAGAATTCTCTCCTTCAAAGTTGTCTTGATCTGCAGGATTATTCGGATCAAGGGAAGCTGGGACAGCAGATTCTATATTTCGCTTAAGTTGGATCATGTCACCATTCAAGTCTTTGAGGATGAGTCGTGCGTTCATACTGGTGAGCGCATTACTGCCTGTTAGGCCGGTGATCCAATTAAGATCCGAAGCAGCGCCTGGCAACATCAAGACCTCATAGCCCCAACTTTTCAGGGTCGATACACAGTTTTTCCAAGGCCATTGGGTGTGTTTGCCGTTGGTAAAATCAGCTATTTCAGAATCAAACAGAAAGATAGATATATATCAGGAAATTGGGAGATGAAAGCAAGATATATGCTTGAATGAAACCAGACATACAAAGCATCTGTCCTAATTGTGCTTTAGCTAGAGATTTGTCTGTTTTTGGTTTGTCTATGCATACATAATCAACTTTTGGTACTGAAATAAACACACACGATAATAGAAGAAACTTACTGTCAACCAGACTCTCCAGACCTACCTTCCTACCCAGGACATACGCTTGCAGGTTAGCCAAACAATTGTCTTGCGGTTTCAATGCTTTGGTGGCGTCGTGCCAGTTGATCGCACCCTGAGTTCCTCGGAAAAGCTGAACAGAGCCATGAGAGACATGCGTGGACACCACCATGATAACACCTTCAAGATGATAAGTGGCACAAAGTCGACGCAACTGTTGCATAGCAAGTTGGTCAGTATTCAGGTATGGAATGAATGGGGTTGAATCAATAACCAGAAGAGCTCACCTGTATGTTGGCTTCTCGTAACCACTTGATGATTTTATCTGAATCCGTAGCAAAAGACCGAGACTTGAAACGAACCGCTGAAGTCGATTCTTGAGCAGCACTACCAATGTTACGAGAATCTTGACCATCACCAGCACCGTTAGAAGATTCTTGACCAGTACCACCAACGTTCGACGCTTCTATCTCGTCGATGATAACCGCTAGCTTAGATTTTGGCTTGTAAGTGTCTTTCTCTTCCTCGGTCAGTTGATCGTATTTTCGCTTGAGAGCTGTAGTGGCTTTACCATCTTTAACACCCTTATCTACATAGGAACCAACAGGTGTGAGTGTTTGACATGTGATCAGTTGATTTTCAGCCCAGAACTCACAATCACGGCAGATCTGTCGATTTTCAGGGGCTTGCTGAAAGCCGTGCCATCGAGTCAAGTCTCGGAAAGGCTTCTTGTGGCCTCTGTTGTAACAAACAAGTAAGAGGGTAAATGGGTCAACTTTTGGAAAATATTAAGGACATGAGAAAAGAGACTTACAAGAAGGTTTCAACCGCGGACAGTTTGACACCTCTGGCAAGACAGTTGATTGCCATCGACTTTGTGATATTATCGTGAAAATTCATAAAATGAATCTCATCCTCCTCTGATAAATTCCCTTTGCCTACATTTTCTGCAGAATGACGAAGCTGGCCCAAAGACTTTTGAGCCATGAGTTCCTCAGGACTTCGAGTTTGTCCATCTAAAGTAATTCCTCCAATTTCTGTAAAGACGTCCTTGGACATGAATTCATCAACGATCATACGGGTTGAATCAACAGCTGGAGCTTTAGTTTTCTTGGTTTTGCAATTCTTTTTCTTTGAGTTGTTAGCGTCTTGAGCAGTGGTCGAAGCTGAAGCTGCAGAGAGCTGTTCGGTGTTTGATTCCACCTCATTCTCAAGGCGCGACAAGGTTGAAATACGTCCACCTTGTGGTTGAGGTTGATGGATGCGAGGAATTTGGTTTGGTGCTGATTGATTCGGATCAAACTGAGGTAGATCGAAGTGAGGTGAATCGAACCCAGTGAACCCAGTTTGTGAGTTTGCTCCAACATGAGTAGGATCGAAGTGCCTAGCATCGAAGTACGTACATAGGATCAAATGTAGCGTTCAGTGATTGTTGGCCAGGAAAGACTTGATTCATATGACGAAGCGGATGGGCGAACTGATTGGTGAAGGTTGTGTGGTTTTGATTTAAATTTGAAGACTGATTTAGGTGATGTGGGTCCATTGCAAGGGCGGTCGAGGATCAAAAATTTGAAATGACAGGGAGTGGTTTTGATAATCGATTATGTAGAGTTGCTATTTATCACGTATATGTAGTCCCAACCACACACAGCGTGATTCAGTTTGGCCCCGGTCCCGGTCTCGGTGTGGTATATATATGTATACTTTTTTTTGTACTTTTGACCCAGCATCAATTTCCTCATCGTTTTCATCGCCCTCTCGCATAACCAATCGATTCAATCTAAACTGCTGTCGGTGTTGAGTGGCCCACACGTTGTGGCTTCCCGCTACGAACGTCAGGGCCATTTGTCCCGCTGCAGATTACAGATCATCGACAAATCGAACTTATCACTTATGAACGATAGAAGGCTGAAATAATCGACTTCAAATACTTTTACGATCAACACATGTTTACCATCACATCTCACAATCAATTCGGTCCGCTCTCAACTTCGATTCTCAATCTCCATCATAGTATCATAGTATGTACCAATTGACATTCTTATTGACTTCAATGCTACGATTCTTGGATGGACTCAAAGCTGACACTCGATGTTGTTATTATCACATGCCACTTATTCCATCGCAGCTCAAGCCTAGTTCTGAATATGGAGTTACCTGATAGAAAGAGTGGACTGTGGTCACTCATTGAATTGATGTTGTGGTCATATGCGGTCGCGTTGCGACACATCCGTTAGTTATGTTGGATAAGTAATTGGCGTTAATTAGTGTTATAAACAAATAACATTGAGGCTAAGGCACTACTTCAAAAATCAAAAGGAGTGAAAAAGAAAGGTGATTTTTCATTGATCTGTGAGAGCGCAACACAATAGATCCAAGTGGCTTTAAAGCTGCAAGGAACGATAAGAAAGGATATCCGATATTCAAGACTCAAGTTGTACTCAAGTTGTAAGTAAGGATAAGGCTCAAAAAAAGAAGTGAGAACAAAGTACACATAAAGAATTAATGCGTATATGATGTTGAGACAAATATATCTCATTGCACTTGATGAAAATTGGATTTTTTTGAGCTTCATAAAAATTTGCACAATGACTGACAGCACAGGTGTGATTTGGTGTAGGTGTTCCACCTTTCATCAAAACTGAAATGAAATAATGAAAGTCATCCATAAAGTATATGAATGAGACTTTGTTACACGCTTTTGTCCAAATCTGTGAGTCTTGACAGTCAAATAAAGGTTTGTTTGAGGGGGTTGCAAATGGCTCAACTCGCGTATACCTGACTCAATGTTAGCCCAAACTTGATGGTACAATCATCACAGTTCTTGTAGCATTGCTTACAGATAGGGCTATATAAGACTATTTCTGTAAAATGTGATGTCTTGGTGGTCATGTAGAGGGTTCAGTGTGTTGGAAAGGTGTTCAAATGCACATATCTTACACAATTTGGATTAGGATTTAATATTGCACTAACTCAAAGTGTTCTCCATTTGATTATATCTATAGTTTAATAACAGAAAATTTGAATGATCTCAAGTCTTGGTGGTCACATAGAGGTTTTGGTGATTTTTGCAGGCTTGCAAAGGGCTCAAATTGTGCATGCTTAATTCAATTTTGGCCCAAATTTGATGGTGAAATAATAAAAGTTGTTGTAAAATTAATTACACAGATAGTTTCATAAGACCACTTTTCTAAAAAGCCACTTCTTGCTGGTCATGTAGAGGATTTAGTGTATTGCAAAGTCTTTAGTGTATTGCAAAGTCTTCAAAATGTGCACATCTTACACAATTTGGATCAGACATTGATGATTTAATAGTAAAAAGTGTTTGTAATTTAATTACAACTAGAGTTTAATAATATCAATTTTGAATCAGCTCAAGTCTTGGTGGTCAACTAGAGGTCTTGGTCTTGTTTTGGATGGCTGTGAAGTGCGCAGGTTGCTCATAACTCATTCAAATGTGGCCCAAATTTGATGGCAAAATAATGTAAGTTGTTTTAAAATCAATTACAGAGAGACCTTAATAAGCCAACTTTCTTGAAAAGTTGATTCTTGATGGTCAAGTGGAAAGATTTGTGATTTTGGTGGGGGATGTAAATGTCACAAACTGCCCATATCTCTCTCAGTTTTGGTCCAAAACCAAAAGCTCAATAATGAAAGTGGTTTACAACTCCATTTAACTTTTTGTTTGATATACAACTTCTTGAAAAAAAAGGCTTCTTGACCCGCCTTTGCCCATTTTGATTTTTGTGACACATTTTTGTATGCCTATATCTCAGCCAGTGTTTGTCTTATGAGCTCGTGGGATGCTCCATTGATTTCCTGAGGGTTTTTTAGGGGGAGCTTATTAACAAAGTTTGACCCAAAAGTCACTTTGAAATTTGTCAAAAATTCCAGCTCAAGAATGCACATATTTGTGCTTTCAACATCAAGTATGACAACATAACACCTTGAAAACAAATGAGATTTCGTGAGAGGGTGGTTATTTTTCTTGAGAATAATTTGTAGTACATTGCAAACAAATCTAAATGATCAAAAATCCCTCATAAACATGTTCCCCTGGGTTATAAGGAATTTATTGGTTTTACTGAGGTTGGGGGAGAGAGGATTGCATCAACCTTGAACCAATAAACCCAGTATAGATGAATATTTTTGTAAAAAGTATAATAATAAACCCATCATGAAATACCATTCTGTACAACTTTCATTTGTGAATCATTTGATTTGGATTGATTTTGCGTGAGGTGTGCTCCTTTTATATATATTTTGTGATTTCAATTTGTCACAAAATATATGAAATGTCCATCAAGAGTACAGAAGTTGCACAAAAACTCATATTGAACCCCCCATGAATTATTCTCCTGAATGATACTCATTGTTTGACCATCAAATTCTGATCAACATTTATGGAGTGGTGCACACTTTGTGCTATTTGTGTGATGACACATCTTGGCAAAAAGTATTAAATGTCCTTCAAGAGTAAGGAATTAGATCAAATACTAATGTTGAACCCCCCGCATTTCCTTTTTCAAACTTTTTCAAACTTTTCATCATTTAATCATCAAATTGTGACGATCATTGAATGTGATACAATGGTTTTGTTGTGCCTCATATATTCACTCTCTCACTCTTTGGAAGGGCTCAGCTGTGTCGTATAAAAACGCATCATGTATCATTTCATTGCTTATTGATGTATCATTTCAAGATAAAACCAACAAACAGAACTAAAAAAAAATAGAATGAACTAAACTCTCATCCATACTTCTCTACGCAAGACTTAACAACAACAAACTACAAGTACAATATTTAGAAAAACATGCATCATATAAGTGTATTGTTTTTTATATCTGTGTATCATTTTTATAGATGTTGATTTGAGAGAAAGGACATTGAGTAAACAACAAGAACAAACTACAAGATAAGAACTAAGCCATAAGAATCTCCTCAGGTTGTTCTTCAGGTATGTCATTCAAAGATAATACATTCAAACCAGCTGTCATATCTTCTTCATTTAATGCTCCTAACATCCTATTATCTTCGTCTTCCTCATCCTCAGTTGCAAGTCCAGCATCTGAATCCCCATCAGGAAACTGAAAGGTGTTTCTTTGTTCATCTTGCACTTCCACTTCAAATAAATCGGGTAAGTTGTTGGGCGGTTCTTGTGGCATGCAGGCAAAATCGCCGGGGATCAGAGACAGTTCCCCTTTTTCGCGCATCAAAGAGATCCATAAGACTTGTTGTTTCCACAAATACAAAAGGTCTTGATCTCCTTGTTGAAAGTCAGTTCGGAACAAGATATCCATGAGTGGATCGTGCCACAACTCCTGGAGATGAAATACTTTCAACAGCTCTGTGTGAATGATTGATGTCACTGCGACTCTGGAAGGAAGAGAAACTAGTAGTGATTTAGCTTGAGCAGATGTCAGTTCCGAGTTAAAATCTCGGAGTTCTTTGAATAATCTCAATAGGCTTTGATGCCGCCGAGTTGCCCATCGCATTGAGCGTCGTATCTCCCATCCGATCCTACGAAGCTCTTCTTTTGATCGTTGGAAATATGCTAGTTGTCTCATACCGTGCTGCGTTTTGGGATCAACGGCCCAAGGCTCATGAGCATGAGTGATGAATCCGTCATTCCAGAAAGGGGAATCAGCCTCAAGCTTGAGCAACCTATCGAGATTCATGGTGGCAGGGTCTGGTACAATATTCGTTGGAAAGACCTTTCGATAATCTTCAAGTTGAATGAGGTAGCAGTCCAGAAATTTCTTGAGTGCCAGCGCATGCCTTTGGACAGAGGTAACTACAATGGAAGTGCGGTTGACGCCTGGGAATACCTGTCAGTCAGTATATGTTATGGGTTATTACCTCAATTTATTACTACAGACTTACCTAGATTGGAGGTTCTGCCGTTGGATCGACTCACTTCCATTGGTCGTTTTTGTTCTTTCAATTCAATGAACTTCTTTCGAAGTTCATGTTTACTACTCCAAAGCTTTAACATGACTTCCTGATGTGTTTCTAATCATAAAGTGAACAACATAGTCAATATAATGCAAAAGATCGAAAAAAATAGATGTAACTTACTATTAGCAAAGTGTGTGTTGCCTGCACTGCCAACTTTCTGGCTTGCCTCTAAGATCTGTTGATTTAGGTTATGCGCGGTTCGCATATGAGCCTCAGCGTGTTCAGGACTGACTGTAGTTTTCCTGCATTTATAGTACACAATGAGTTAGTAATGCGACATAGAGGATATAAAGCCTTGATCCAATCACACTTACCAAACTTCCTTGAGTCTATCTCGTGAGCACAGAAGGTTCCCCAATGTTAAGCGCAATTGGTCCATGTGATGGCTCTTACTAGCTTGCGCCTCGCGTTCTGATACCCACTGTCTCTCCAAAAATGAAATCGAATACTTTCGACCGGTGGCTGGGTTGACAGACTTGAAAAGTGAATCTAGCTCGAATTTAGCAAGTGTGAATACTCGAGCTGCATTATGGTATTTCTTAGATAGCCACTTTCCTACAAGATGAGTCGAAAAATGTCACTCAAGAGCCGTATCAATAAATATTGTCTCCATTGACGTACCACTACCAGCTGTGAGTTCCTCACCATAAAATTCGGCGCGTAGTTGGATCATCAAGAGGCGATTCAATCGAGTGCTGATACGACCAGATGCGACTAGGTCAGATAAGAAAGACCATTCGCGCTCAAGACCCTCGCCATCCGATAATCCAAAGAAATTGATGAAGCGAGGGTGGTATTTAATCTGACATGGCCAATGATGTGCATACGCATGGAAGACTGAGGTAGCAAATAGGAGCTTGTCCCTATATTCGGGTAGAAAACCACGCTGAAGAATTGATCGATCAGATCAACTGCTAATTGTTTGAAATGGAGGCAGTTTGCTTACCTTTTGAATGTGAGCCTCGAGATGACACCCAATGTCGTACAATACAGCCACGCGCTTATCGGGAAAGCTCTTGAGGATATCTTCAAGGACGGAAATTGGATAGAATAACCTGAATAAGATGAACGGTTAGCAAGTTCAGGCTTCAGAAAGAGAATGAGGACTTACTTTTCACCACTCTTGTAGATATTGACAAATCGCAAGGGAATATCATGACGACAGACACTCCCAAACAAACCAGTGTCGTCACATTGATCCCAGGAGCCACCGTTTCGAACGTCATCGGCCGCAGTGTGTGATTCTGAGCACGCGGACTTCATGGATGAGGCAAATTAGCTACCTTCACCATAAAAAACGATTAAGGTTATGTACTTACTTTGAGGCCTCCAGCTTGATGAGCAGTGTCTTTTACTGAACGTTCATGAGGTTGAACTCGTGATGGGGGGATGAATAAGGGGGGATATTCGTTGTCTTTGGGATTATCGGTAGAGGCTTTTGAATGATGGCGATGTTGAAAATTCCCGTCCATTGCAATGATAGCATCGGGTTCATTCGGTGAAACTTTAATTTCACCTTCTGCTGGGCCAAAACATCGGGCACATTGGTCTGAAAGTAAGTCAGATGGTGTTAAACTCAAGCCTTCCTTGTAGATCCTTTGTTTCTCTAGGAGAAGAGTCCGATAAGTCCAAACTGCAGTTGAGAATTGCCGCTTGAGATCACGATTGACGTGTGGGCGATTTCGAGGACAGAGGTATTTCTTTGATCGTAAGTTGCCAAATCCCATCAAACCACCCAAGAACCCACTTAAAGAAGAGGCTGTCAGCTTCCAAATTTCCTGATAGAGTTCGACGAAAGCAACAGAGAAAGCAGTCGAGGGACTGTCAGGTGATCCAGCAAAATAGCCATAGTGCATTAAGCGGATAGGGTCAGGAATGCATTGACAGAATACAAGTAACTGTTTGCTTGTGCGACCTAGGTGGTGAGGGAGACGTGTCAGTCTGGGAGGAAAGAAAGGAGATAGACAGAAAGATAAACTTACGCCCTATATCAATAAGATCAACTTCTCGTGTACAGATCTGTGACCGTGAACATGAACATATCACCGGATAATCCTCTATGTAAGAAGGAGCTGAAGTCCAATTGATGGTCTGATGTTGGCGTTCGAGGTAAGTAGTGATGAGTCGAAGTCGCAAGGTCTTCCATTTCTTCTCTCTTCTATCTCTTTCACAGATGCGTGACCAACCCTTATGCTTGATGTAGAAGTTATTACAATCGTCATCGATGGTTGGTGGGGCCGGAGAATGTGGACGAGACAGGTTTTGCACATATTCTGGTACATCAGTCACATCTATCCATGCATCATCATTGTCATCGTCAATTGCATCTTCATCGTCTCCACCTACAGGTGGTTGTTGTGGTGCAGATCCAGAAGGAGGTGGTGGTATAATGCCAAGGCGTACTCCAACATCCTTGACTTGATCTGGTGTGTCGGTGATACGTTGGACAGTCTTGCGGCGTTTTCGTTCTTGTTTTGCAAAGAGATGAACATCATGATTGTTAGAACGGTCGGTTTTTTTTGCCATTACAATGAGGTTTGACAATGTCGTTTTGAGAAAAAAAGTGGCCAGAGAAAAGTTGAATAAAGAGATCAAGAATCAAGAAATTAAAAATACATCAAAAAATTGATGATCATCAAGATCAATTTGAAAACGGGCGGTATGAGTCAATTTTGAAGGGTGATTTGAAAGTTTTTGATCATCATTATTAACTTATATATTCAGGTGGGTGAAAAGTGATGGTGGTTGATTTCGACCTGAGTTCCTTTGTGGGTATGAATATGATGAGTGATCAATTGATTCCAATACGGATATGTGTGCTGATTTGTGCTGAAAACCTTGACTTTGAATATAATATTGCAGGTGGTTGATATGTGTGATATGTGTGGCTTGTTGAGTTGCGGATATGAGAAGGAGGATGATATGGGGTATGCTTGCAATGAACGTGAATCAGCGTGAGTCATGGTGATCTGAACCAAAGGCCTCGGCTCCCTCTCACGGATCAGCTGGGCCATGGTGTGGTCCGAGGGCCTACGGGTTTCTACGAACTTGGAGCTGAAATTTGGTGAGAAAACCTCTCAGACTCTGAGAGACTCTGAGAGACACACAGTTCCCGTCGACAACAGCCATTAATGTCATTTCTCATACTGTTACATATGGGAGCATTAGATGTACCGTGGTGTCAATTTTTTTATGTAAATGTAAACAAATCACCGATCGCAACTTTTGACCCTCTGTAAAGTCTTTCATTCGAAACCCTCCGCCAAGGGAAGGATCTTCTTCATAAATGAGATCCAATCTGATGCTTATGTAATGTATACTTATAAATATATGATAATTCAATTCGTGAACAACCGAGTAGGGATCATTTAGTGTAACCTCAAATCATGTAGGGTATGTTGTTATGTATCTAGTGAATCATAGAGAAGTGGAGGAAATTAAATGAAAGTTTGGGTGAAGTTATTAAGGTTCTGATCTAACTTCCATAGGCGCATCTCAGCCCAACTGTACCTCTATGTCTCTCTTTCTCTTTCGGTTGTGTCAGTGATTCATAAAGACAAGTTGATCAAAAAAAAGTAACCAAAATGTATTAAGTACTGGTTGGGATGAGATGACTGAGATTGGTCAGGTGAAGTTATGGATCCGAATGAGTCATGAGTGAAATGTTGATGTCCCGGTGGAGGTACACCGTATAGGATCTAGATCACATGATGTACAAGACAAGACATGAAGACTCGTCATGACGTCGCCACGTGGGCGGCGGCCAGAGGAGCTTCATATGTAAAATGTAATCCTCTCTTGAGTCACTGATAAAAAACACTGCGGATCACATGATTCATCATCAGACTATCAGTTGACAGTCATTGCGAGCTGGCCAAGCATTTTGACAAATCAAAAAGACATCTTACCAATAGAATTTTGAAAGTGTTGCAAAAGGCTTGAATGTGGATCAAAAATCATAAACGGTTCAAAGAAACCTCAGCTCATCCTCTGGTTCTAATTGTCTACTCTACAACTTTACAATTTGATCACTATAAAACATTGCGTAAGACCATCAAGAAGTTAAGATACATTGATCATAAATTAAAATTGTATTTCAAATCTTCTGATCAAGATCAGATAACTTGAAGTTGAAATCTCTCATCTTTTGATTTCTTTATAACTTAAATCTCAAAGGTTGAACTTGTTTGCATTTGAAGCTTATGTACCCATAAGTTTGTATGATTTCATGAATTGATTGTACGAGAAATACCAGAAAGAAAAGATCCCCAAAAAGAAACATGATTGAAAAAATTACAAGATTATGGATGTTTCTTCTTAGGTAAACTCAATAGCTTGAAGGGAAATTAAATTAATGATAAAATAAAAAGAAAAAGAAAAAGATAAAGAAAAAGAAAAAGTGATGAAAATAAATAAATAGATAGATAATTGATGAATAATAAATATTGAAGATTGAATATTTTGAATATTGAAAATCGAATAACAAAAGAAGAGATTATGATCAAATAATCAATTTCTTAAAAAAATCTTGGTGGTGGTGGTAGACCAAAGGGTGGTGGTTGACCAAAAGGTGGTGGTTGACCAAAAGGTGGTGGTTGATTATTAAATCCATTATTATTGAACCCATTGTTATTGAATCCATTGTTATTAAACCCATTGTTATTAAACCTATTGTTATTGAACCCATTATTATTGAACCCATTGTTATTGAACCCATTATTATTGAATCCATTATTATTGAACCCATTATTGTTGTTTGGCCTGCCTTGTTGATTGAATTGTTGCTGATTGAATTGTTGATTAAATTGTTGATTATTACCTGGTGGTCTAGGTGGTGGCGGTGGTAAGGGAAACTGTCTCTTGCTTAAAAGTTGTTGAGAGTTGTGCATGTGTGTAGTTGTGCTG